TTTTTTTAATTTTTTATGTTCTTGTTTGTGTTGATTTTTTAAATAATATTTATAATATTTCTTTAGTTGCCATTGTGATACTTGTTGATTTTACACAAACAATAATTTTCTTTATTATTATTATCATTGTTATGACTTTACATCATTTATGAGAGACAGCATTGAATAGATATGCGGAAGGAATATCAACTATCCTGATGACAAGTGAAATTAATACTAGTCTTGACACAAGTCCTTGTTCAGAAGCTGTGAGCGTCCATCTTCCCTGCAATGTTGCAGCTATTCCTGTTCTTCCAGGCTGTTGTCATTCATATTATCATTGCATATCATACATTAATTAATTGTTTGTTTTTTAAAATAAAATAAAATAACACACTGATAAAACAGTAACATGTAAGATTAATACCTTCTTTTAGCTGGAAACCTCCACTAAAGTATTGCAGTAGTTGATTCCAAGCATAGCTTGGGAAAAAAATTAATTGCTTCTTCCAGAGCTGCAGATCTGAGCATGCGCGACCACACCCAAATTTTGGAGCACATGCTTCTTTAACTAACAAAATGGCGGCATGCAGCTAAGATGGCTCTATCCAGCAGTCACAGTATCACTTTTTCCTTACTTGAAGAATGATCTGATGGGACATGGACCTGCGCATAGACTGTTGGAGTAGATTGGTGTAAGAATTATCCTTGTAACATCAACTGATACTGAGATACATACCGACAACTAGATTGACAGGACTTGATGACGATGATGAAGATGAAAAAAAGTGGCTGAACAAAACGGCCGGTTCGCCGATTTTTGAATTTCCTCTTAGACAGGGCCTAGAGCCACGCTAGTGGTACCAATGGAGTCCTCTGGTCAAGATAAGGTCCTCTATAAAGTCTGGTAAGCATAGGAGCTTGTTTTCCCGGTATAGCAAGGCTGCAAAAGTCGTGGCAGCCATTTTGTTTGGGGGTGAATCCTACTTAGTAACGCTACCGCATTACTAATACATATTAAAAGTACATGCTATGAGCAATCTAATTTATGACAAAATCAACAAAATACAAAATATATTTCAGGCTAAGAAGTGAGAAAAGATGGTGTCAACTCTTACTAAGATTCATTCCTTTCACTAACTAATCTTATATGACAATAATCTCTGTCTTCCTGTTAGAAAGTTCAGAACTTATCCTATTTGAAAGCTGGCCACCATTTTGTTTATGATGGCTACTAACTTGTAAGATACGAGGATGGGATGATTACTAATTTTGTTACTCCAATACACAATATAATGTTGAGTGTTGACGTACATAAATAATTACATTACTGTCAGATCATAAAAATTTATGCATTGTAATTCCTACATAGCATACATCAATATGTCTCCTGAATAATATTACATTAATTTATATATATATATATATTATTTAATAACACCACCCACTTGATTAATTAATTAATTAATCCACCCCCTCACCTAGCTAGTGTTGATTTCCCACTGCCTGGTAATCCACGTATTAATATCAACTTCTTAACAACAGGGGCCTCTGAAATTAAACCCCGCCCACTAGACCCTGGACCAGTTTCATGTGATTGTCTCCCACTGGTAAAGTTAGGCCATTGAGACTGAGAGGAGGAGGAGGAGGAGGAAGGGGGAGGGGCAAGAGGAGGTTCCTGTGGTGTTGAAGTCTCTTTGGGTTTCTTCTTTGAATTCATTTTCAATAACTTGTTAGCTGCTACTTGAGCTGAAGAAAAGAAAAAAACAACAATAAAACAAATACCATATAGCTGGAAATATTTGCGGGGAATTAAATTTTGTGAGTTTGCGATTCCATTTAAAGTGCAAAATTTAAATCCGCAAAATAATGAAATTCATGCATGACCACAGTAGATAATGCTACAATAACTGTCAAAACCGCAAATATTTAATCCACAAACCAGGTTATTTTAAAGGATCGCAAAATTTTTCTCCGCAAAATTAACCAGCTGTACGGTACTATTGCTTTCAAATTTTAATAAGTTATCAAAATACCGTGTAAGCAAAAATTTAATTAATTAAAAATTTATGTATGATTTATGGTATTATGGAATTACATCTATTTTCAGAAGTACGAAAACAAAAACCTAATATTACGATTAAACTGCAGTACAACAGCACAGTTTTTATTAAAGTAAAAACATGCAATTTATCATAAAAAGCAACCCAAATCTCATTAATTTTAATTAAAAATTATGTCAAACAAGAGCCAAACGCCATTAGATAGTCCCAGTGCTCTATTACCATCATTCTTGGACTGTCTGAGCACTTCCAGTAGCAACTGCTTGTCAGTATCAGGGAATATGGCCTCCAGCATAGAGAGAGAAGAATCTGAAGGGGCAGCCATTTTGTTCAATATGACACGCCCTTCTAGTCACGTGTATAGCCCGGGATAGTCCGGGAAAATAAAACTAGACCACACCTACTGTTAAGTAACTATTGACAGTTAAGTAACTAATCTAGTTAAGTAACTATTAAATCAGTTATTTAACTTTTGACCACACCTATTTATTAATCAAACCATGCCCTTTTCTAGTTTGCCCCGCCCATTTTTAAGTAAAGAAGGAGGCAAGCAGAGAGGAAAGGAATGCCTGCAGTTGTTTCAAAGCTAGCCAGTAACCCTCGGGCTGTGGTTGCATTAGCCACTACCATTGCTGGGCTAGGCCTCTATGTATCCGTTAGGAGGAAAATAGCTTCGAGGAGGTGAGAGAGGGTCTGGAGGCGTGGCTTGTAGTCACGTGGTCTCTATTATTTTGACCTTTTTAAATTCAATATTTTAATTTTTAAAATGATTAAGATTGGTTTTGTAGACGGATTAAATTTGTTGACAGATTAAACTTTTATGTTTGTTTTTTTAATTAATTTTTATTTTAAAGGAAAGATGAAGAAGCATACATTGCAGCAACACAGGTACGTCCTTATACATGTACATGTATGATATTAATTAATACATTTATTCTCTCTCCTTATTAGGATAAAGTTGGTGATAAAAGGAAAGGAGACAGAGCGGCTGTTGATTGGGAGTTTATCAAGTAAACAAAAAATTATTTTAATTATAAAAAAAATTATTTTAAAATTCTTTTTAGACGAATCGTTAGGCTGTTCAGGATCCTAGTCCCCAGGGTTTTATGTCCCGAGACTGGGTACCTCATTATGGTCGCTATCATGTTAGTACTAAGGACTTACGCTGATGTCTGGATGATTCAGAATGGAACTTCTGTTGAAGGGTAGGTATGGGTCTCAATCTGCATGGTATGGGTATGAGTCTGCATGGTATGGGTCTGAGATTTGCTTTTAACTGCAACTGTACCTCAACTAATAATTACAAAGCTTCTATTATATGCATGTACATGTAGTTTACTTGCATATACTATGTATTTAGCAAATTTTTTAATGTTTTGTCAACGAAAAGTTTTCTCTTATATGAAAATTAAAAGCAAAAATTACATGCATACATGTATATATTTACTTTTTCTCTTCTTCATTTTTTTTTCATTCTCTCTCTCTTTCTCCAGCTCTATAATTGGTCGCAATTTTGAAG